CCCCCCCCCCCCTCCTTAAAGACAGGAAGTGCTAGCTTAATTAAAAGACTGCATTTTTTACCTAAGGTTAAATGGTGTTTATTGACTTCTTGTGTTTTTCAGGATTACAGCTCAATGACCTCTGGGGTACAGCCTCTCCAGCCAGATGACCACTCTAGTACCTTGAGAACTGACCATTCCAGTACCTTGAGAACTGACCACACCTTTAACCACAGTGGGTCGCTGCGCTGGACACTACTTCAGAACGAAAATGGAACCAATACCATCTCATCTATTCCCTCCTATCCAACCAGTCAAATCCCAGTTTACAAACCTCCAGGTAAGCCATGGGGCTGTTTGTAAGAAAGCCATTGATAGGACTTGTATTGTTAGTCAGGGGATTAACGAAGTACCATTTATTTTTTTCATAATTATTCTTTTTTAAGTTTGTTTATTTTAACAATATGCACACCTTTCTACAGAATTCTAATGTGCCATTTTTACATGCTGACAGTGGAAATGTATTTATCAAATGTGACCACTTGTGTCTGTGAATATCATTACCATGTTATATCAATTTACTATATTTCTTTAACAAATTTTATTACTTTTTATGATAAGTTACAGTTACATCTATATTATTTGCACCATTTTGACAGATAATCTTTATTTTCATTTACATTTAAAAGGTGCAGTATGGTTGAAATTCTTGGTACTATCAGGGAAATTTAACTTTGTTGACCCGTCCTCCATTTTGACCCTCTTCTGACAGAAAACAGATACCTTTCAGTGTAAACTTGAAAATCTGTCTTCTGGAAGACCCAGAGGACGGCCTAAATCCGCCCCTTCTGGAAGACCCAGAGGACGGCCTAAATCCGCCCCTTCATGGAGAACACTTTGGCACATTCCAATGCTAGATGCTGCTCTGGGGAGGAATTTCAGTTTTAAAGTTAGTTAAGTAAAGACATATTATTTGAATATAATCAGTAAAATTATTATTTTCCATTATTTTAGATCTTCCACCTCAGTCACTACCTCAGAACAGACTCAACTACAGCAGGTACCCTGCAGATCCTGGACAATACAACTCCTATGAACCTCACCAAGTGTGCAGTAGCGCCTCTAATCTGCCACCATTTTCAGCCTCGGCCAAACCCTGTGCAATGTTCCCATCAGCCCTGCTCTATGACCACCTCCCCAGCACAACACACAGCCCACTGACTACCCCCAAGTATCTACAGGGTGAAAATACTGAATTCAGAGAGATTGGTTTACAGAAGAAACAACAAGATCTTAACAATAACAGTACTGACCCAAAAGTGGCTTCTGCAACAGCAGCAAGGCAGCCCTCACTTGCCAAGATCTTGTCCCACAGTCAACCATCTTCCAAATATCTACAGACCCAAATGGTGCGTGAAGAGGATCCTCTCCTCTGTCATGAGACAGTGCCTCCAAGTGACCTTGACGACCTTCCTGGACCAGCAGATAAACCCCTGGGGATGTCTACACCACGCCCCCTCCTCTCCCCTATATCCCCCCAGCACACTGGAGGTGGCACCCCTGGGAATCTCTTCCCGTCTGTGAGCATGACAGAAGTAGACATCAACAATAACAGCAACAACCCGACCTTGGTCACCATGGCAACCTGCTCGGAGTGTCCCAGCACCGCAGTGCCCTGTAGTTCTATAGACATGGGCTATAACTACTCTTCCCAGACCACCACTATATCAGCAAGTGAACCAGCGTCCACTCTTCATTCCTCCCCGTTATCCAGCTTGCCAGACCCCCCCTGTGTGAGGTCCTCCTCTCTGCCAGCCTCCCCCATGTCTAACCTTCCTGACCCCCCTAGCATCAGAAGACTATGTCTGCCAGTTACTGTACCCATGTTCACAGGTACTTGATATATGGCTGATATACATATTATATAAGTAGATAAGTTCTCTGGATATATTAAATGACAGGGCAGGTCTTTCTAGAAACTGACACTTAATGTTAATAAGGTTTGTTCAGATGCACGAAAGATTGGTACGCAAATACCTTGAAATCTGCTGGAATTTAACTATACTGACAGTATTTTGAAATATATATTGTTCATTAAAGACATTATGACCCAATGTAATGATTGCTTTGTGTATTTTTGATGTTGGTCTATTGTTGTAAGTTTGAAGCATAAAAGTTATGTGGACTGTTAAATATATTTTTTTCAGACAAGAAAAAAAAGACATCCCAATCAAGTGAAGCCACTGTGGCAGTTCCATCAGCTGAGCCTCCACCCCCCAAATCTGCCAGGATGGAGGCGCCTCCATTCACTGCCATCAAGCTGGCACCTGTGCAACCAGTTAAAACTGATAAGGTACGATGAGTTGTGGTTGTCAATTTATAGTCAAGAAAGAAGGACCATGGCTCAGTTCTAAACTCCCAGTGGATTGGTGCACATCCTGCTCTGGCTTTTACTTGTAACATCATTCAATATTTGTTGGTATTTTCTATCTAAGCCCAAGAGACCTGCATTCAGACAAAAATTTCTGACTTAGTGAGCTGGTCAATTTCACAACTTTCAGAAAACTAATCAGACTGCAGCAAAAACCCAAGCATCAAAACCCAACATGGCACATGACAAGAAGAAAACCAATCCTCTACAGCCAAAGGCCGTGGAACTGATGAGCACTTGGTTTAAAAGCCATATGGAGAACCCATATCCCAGCAGAGAGGAGAAGGAGTGGATGGCTGATAAAGGAAATATTAGCATTAATCAGGTACTGTGATACATGGTTTTTAAGGTGATTTTTGAAGCACTTTTATATTCTTTCTTTAAATTTATGAATTTACTTCCTGTGCCAAACACTAATTTTCAATACTATTGAAGCTGAATGATGAAGAAGAAATATGACTTTTTAACAATGTTCTCCAGTCAACAACCCCAGAGTGCTTATTATTTTTTTTGTATTTTTACTAAGTTATTGTGATTGGTTGTTTCATCAGGATTATTATTGTTAGAAAGTGTTAAAATATGCCCTTCAGAACTGTTTCTGTTTCTACGAAAGGTGAATTCTTGGTTTGCCAACAAACGAAACCGCACCAATACAACTCGTCCCAAGAAGGCAAAGAGGCAGATAGAGAGTCAGATCTCCTCCCTGTGCAATGAGCTGATGCATCCAAACAAGAAACCAAACATGGACAACAGTTATGTTATTGCTGTAAGTACGTGCCTTTTAACTTACAGTGAATTTGAATGTTTCCTTTCCAGTTTGAAGCAGGAGTTTAACATTTTTTCCATTTATCTTAAGGATTTTGGCAGTTTGTGAAATATGTACAAGACCAAAATGATGTAACTATAATCTGTCTTTTTTCTGTAACTTTTTTTCTAGCAATTGAGCAGCATCTTGACTCAGACTGGCACTAAAAAAAGACATTCAAGATCCAAGAAGAAGGCTCCAGAAGATCCCTCCAAGCTTGTTCCTGTTCCTCTTGGTCCCATCCCTGTCCCCATGTGGGCTCAGCCATTAGCTGCCCTGCCACCTGGTTACATGTATACGGCTCCCAATGTGTTCCAAGCACCCCAGGTTTCTGCCACCAGCTCTGCCTCCAGTCTTCAGCAGCCATCTTTACAGAGAAGTGTCAAGACCAGATCCAAGGTGGCAGCAGGTTCCTCTACAAGACAAGCCCAATCAAGAGCTGCGGACCAGTTTGCTGCAGCCAATATGCAGCAACTATTACAGCTTAGACACTTGCAAGCTCAAGTGCCACCCTTCAGAAATACATTTAGACACCAAATTCCTCTGTCCAGCAGACCAGAGGATGCTTTGAGATCTGAGTCTTATGTGGGGTCAGGTAATGGGGTCAATGAAGGGGCCCTGAACCTGCACCAAAAGTCTCAGAAGTTGGATCAAGCACAGAATTCCCCCGGACACACTGGCCAACTGAGGAGTGCTAGAGGCTCTCCACAGAAAGGAGGACAGAAAACCAGCTCTGTGAGGAATTACGCTGACAGCGCCGAGTCTTCTGCCGTGCCAGAAATGTCTACAATCACCATTAGTCAGGGCCAACACGAGGAGACTATAAACATCACCGCTGTTTCTCTGACTGATGTCACTCTAAATACTTCCACATGTGCCGATGTCTTTACCTCTGGGTCTGCGGAAGCCAAGAGTGAAGTAGAAGTGACGTCTACAGCAGATGTGCCCAAGTCTTCTGATGTGGCAACACCTTGCTCTGCCAACACTTGCCACACTTCAGATGATGATAAAACTTCCAAATGGTGATCCATGGAACTAGTCTAATCTGAATGGAAGGATTCTAATTTTGTCTTAATTTTCTGTGTCATTATTCTGAACTTAAAATTCAAGAGAGATTTTCTTGAAAAAAACAAGATGCAGTACTCCTCTGTTTATCAAGTGAGGAGTTTATCTGCTCATTTTCTGTTATCTTATATTAAATTGTTTTCAAATATATTTACAAATGTCATATTAATGATGGAATACATCTTTATAAAGCAGACTTTACTTCAGTCTTATTATAACTATTAAACCACACATTTATACTGGTCCACTAAAAATCTGTAAGTATTTGCCCCATTTTTGGCTAGGAAATTATCCTAGAACTATTTGCATCAAAAAAACTATGAAATGATTGTTACTTAATTGCTATTCTCGAATACTCTCAAATGTAGTTTCAACTCCTTAAACTATTCTGCTTAAAAATTAATCATTGAACAGACAGTTTTCCTCTGTTTCAATACCATAATGTTCTATATATTCAATTTATGTTGAACAAAATGCATAGAGAAAATTATTCTTTGTTAGTTTTTGGAAATTTAAACATGTTACAACTTAGAATGGACAATGCTTTTATCCTAAACATACAACTGAAGTGACAGTCATGATATGGACATAAATGATTAGCACCAGTATAATCCACATTTAAAAAAATTAATTTCTTGGGCAGCACAAAAAAAAGGCTTTAAAACTGTACATTATTTTAATTCTGGTCATAAATTTGACATTTTTTTTGCCTCCAGTCTAATCAGCAGAGGGCAAGAGAATATATGTGCAAATATCACTATCTGGGTAGGAATTTATGTAAAATAATTCTTTGGTATTCTTTCAGTTATCCTATTTGAGACTATAAGGTGGCATTTGGTTACTAACTTAATGTACAAATTTAATGCCTAATTTAAGATAATTGAATAGTTTTACTACTGTATTACTTTTCATTCTTTTAATATCAGTTTCGTTTAATATTTTTAAAAATACAATAATTTTTGTTAGCATTTTACAGGGGTGGATTGAGGCCGTCTCCTGGGTCTTCTGCCCCTGTTTTACACTGATGTGTATTTGAAAGGTAAATTTTTACTTGAGTAAATGATGGATGGAGAATTAAGACTTCAACCCCCAACCTCTAATTCTTAATCTAAAATAAATATTCCCCAGTGCTACATACCTGCTCATACCATGCAGCAACTGTGTTTTCCTGTAAATAAAAAATACTCCGTGCTGATTAAATGTTCTGAAGTGTAAAAGTTCAGATGGCTAATATAGAGGATACATGGGTTCAACTACTATAGAGTTCTATATGGTTGAGATTGTGATTACCAACTGCTCAACTAACACAATCACCGCTGGCACACTACCAGGTGATGTGTCACATCCATTGACACATGTATATTGTATATGTTTAATGCAGTAACTTCAGAATTTAAGCAGTGCATTTGATATCAAAATTAAACTTTTATTTACTTTTCAATTTTAAAGATTTTATTCTAATAAATTTTTTACTTGAATGCAGTGACGTGTAGGATTTTCCACTTACCATATATACATAACTGGTGAAGAAACACACTATACCATCTGGTACCACTGTGGAAAGTTCAACTAAGAGGTTGCCATAGTTACGTATCACAGCTGCAGAAAGGAAGGAAGTTCATTGTCAGAACAAAATGCTTCAAATAAATTAAAGGTCAGAGAGCCTAGGACTCTTTGAGGATTTGAATGAAAGAAATGCTGTGTTAGATAATAAAGTAAAACTTATAAATTACACAAAACTTCCATCTCTGCTAAATAAAAAGCATTTAGATTTTTAAATACAAAAGTCACTCTCATGATGAATTCAGCTTTTACTCAGACTGTCAACTTGAAAGTGGACATGTTTAACTCCATTAACCCTCCATATACCTATATCTTCTCTTGTTTCAAACTTGGAGCTGATTGCTACTTGATCATTCCCTCGAGTTACAACCTACAACAGTAATAACAAACATTGAAGGTTGTTATCCCTTCTCTACTATGAACATTCTAAGCATTAAATTTTTCTTTAGACTGGATGCTTAAAAGAATTATAAAGTGACTTTTGTTTCCTCAGCAACCAATATTTGGTTTGACATCATATTGTAATAATGCAATAATATGGTGGTTTCCTCCAAACCCATGAGTTGCTTGGTTAGCAGTGTTAGATGGATTATTTTCTAAAAATCAAACCTTTTACCATTCAACCTTGGCATGCCCAGATCAAATATTGCCCACAGCAGAACTTTTCCTGGCAAAAAGAGTGGTTTGTTTGAACCCCCCCCCCCAACCCGCTCTAGCTACAGGCCTGAACATAGGGGCATTTCAACAATGAACAGAATACAGTTAGCCCGTTTAACTGAGGAGTATGATGCATTTGGGATAAAATAGCCTTAGAAGTGGTAAACAACCAGTCTTTGTTGGATGCTTGTGAGAATCCCAAGTACTAAAATCTGACTAAATACAACTAAGGGAGATTCCATATGCTTTTGAAATCACTTTCAATGGTTTCAAGAAGTGTTTGTTTCCATTTCATGCCACTGATGTAGATGAAATAAAACTCAGGCTAAAATACTAAGTGGATATAGCTTAACAAGTAATTACTATATCATTCTTACTGATAAAGATACAAATGATTGCCATAAGAAGATACTGTCCTCAGATTAGTTTCATGACACAGATGTAGCCATTTTTAACATCAGGTAAAATGTACTAAGTGGAGATTCATTGACAACTAATTACTAAATCAAGTTACAGATACCAATGGGTAATGTAATTTGACTACATGTTTTTCATTTTGTCTGAAACTCATTTTTCCTATTCTTCCAGCCAAGTTGAAGGTCATCACTGTGTTACAACTTAAGTATTAAGGGTCTAAGCAAAATTAGTTTGTTTTTTTTTTCGCCTGTAAGCTTCAACAATCACTGGAAAAATTCAAGATTTTTTTACAACTGGTAAACTGGTTCAGATTATGACTGACACTAATTGTGAATCCTTCCCAGATTTGAAAAGGACAAAATTAGCAGGTAAGTCTAAGAGTGGGGCACAGGTTTAACTGGCAACTTAATTTGTTTAGAAAATTACATCTGTCTACTTAAAGTATAACGATTTACCAGGCATAAACAGCCTTGTTATTCAAAAAGATGTTAACACAATTTAAGTAAATATATCTATTTGCAGCAGTATTTTTGGTGAATAAATTGTTGATTTATTTATTAGATTAAATAACCGATTTTAATTGAGATCATATAAATTTCCTTATTCAAAATGTAAAATATGTAAGAGAACAAGAGAACACAATGAAAAGTTACAATTTAAGAATGGGTCCATTCAGTGCTTTGAACACTTCACCGGACAGATGACAATTAGCCACTATCACGGTAACAAAGAAATGCAGAACACAGCAGAGAGAAATCAGAACTCACCATTGGACACACTGAGGCTCTGGCAAGTGTTGATGTAAGAGTTGCCATGGTTACAGGACGGAAATCCAGTATCTTTGGATACATGTCCAATGGAGACAATGTCTGAAAAAAAAAAAACAATTTTTACAATTTTCTACTTCAATTTAACTGACCATGTGCTTTTCACTGATAAAATCTATTAGACAGCCTGAGGAGAGGTTAGTGAGATGCTATTTATGATTTGCCTTGGATGTGAAGCTACAGATAAGAAATGAAAGTAAAGTTAATAACTACAGTGCACTCGCACCCTTATAATGAAATCAACCCTATACCCAAGCCCTAAACGAATGAACTCATAAAAACATTCTAGGATGACCTATGAAAGTTGTCAGACTTAGGCCCCATTCCCATAGACACCATAAGACTGGGTTCCCATGCTGAGATCGATCCATCTGGATCGACCTAACTCCCTGGGGGTTCACGCCAGTTGCTATCAGCTTAAGAGGCTTAAATGTCTGTCATGCCTTCCTCATCAGCTAGGGGGGTAATTCACTGGGCCTCGCCGATAGTAGATAACAATTTAGTGAGACTCCTCATGGAGATAGATCAATCCAAATATCTGTGGGAATGGTCCCTAAGTCTATGTCGATAAACAAAACTCTGCAGGGACTCTTGCTAAATGCAATCAGCTGAACTAAATGTCTATGGAAATAGGGCCTTATTTTCACTGTGGCTTTGTGACTATGTTATGACTACAGACTTATTTCCACTGTGACTATGTGACTACAGTACGCTTACCCCAGATGTTATGACTACAGATTGAAAGCGGTCAAAGACTGGTTTTATGGCCACAGAGGCGTCCATGCAGCTAAACTTCAGGAGGGGATTAGAGATGGTCGGAGTGCGGTCATCAAACGGTTCAATTATGATTACAAACCCTGAAAGAACAAAATTAATATAAATTGGTTTTAATCTTTTGGTAGTAGCAAAAGAAATAGACATAAAATATCACCAATTTAAAGAGCAAACCTACCCATAATTTTTATCAACATTACTAATAAAATTCATTTTGAGTCTAAAATCAATAAAGTGTTAAGTAAACTATACAATTTAAAATTAATAAAAGTTTATAGATAAAATAAATAAATATATATATATATATATATATATATATATATATATATATATATATATATATATATATAATTTAAGTTTGACAACTAATTTACAGCAATTAAAAGTAAAAAAATCCAAAATTTGACTTATATTATGTAAATAAAAACCTTTCAGAAAAATAAAAAAGTACTATAGCAAGCAGCCCACTGTGTTTACATATATATAGAATGAACACTTTTAGGGATTCATAACAAAACATTGTTTAGGGGAAATTGTTAAATTATTACATTCAAATAAAACTAGTATATGGTATCTATGATTCTCAATTTTCGAAAAAAAGATCTGGGAAAAATGGGCTCTTGTAAAAAGTGAACTTGAAAGAGAGAGCAAGATATACAAAATATGGACAACATTGCAGAAGAAATTCAAATTATCGACTATGGCAGCAACAACAGATGCAGTTGATGGCTTTATGTACAGACATATCTGTGTCTGTACATAAAAATTATGATGAAAAAATATCACTGTGAGAGCATGTGCTCAGTTACGTATAAATCTGCTGAACTTAAGTTGCATACACAGTGGGAGGAGCTAGTTCAATAAAGCTAGCTGATTGGTCAGATATCACTCTAAATGACATGTTCTGTTATGAGAGACATTTGTGGTTTAAAAGCCCCAGCATCGCTCCAATCTGACAATATATGTGTCTTGATGGAAGTAAATAATCTAAACACCTAAGTTCTTGGCAATATTTGAGGATCTTATAACTGGAGGCAGAACGCTCCTGATGCCAACAGTTTTTGATCATTTTGAAGATGAGGTATGGTTTTTGAAGACTCTATAGTACTGGCAGTGACAGCAGAGTTCAGACTAATCAAAAGGTGAATTACTGTGCAGAGAGAATATATTTATATAACAGATACAATAGTGTTAAGCAGATGAATTATGTCTGCAAATTCCTGGTAAAAGCACAGAGAAGATTGTAGAGATGAAGCCATCTGCGTAAACTTGTGTGACAGTGTCTCACAGATTCGAACTTCAGACAATTTTACATCTCGTATCAAGATGACGGATCCATGGGTTGTTTCTTTGAATTCCATATCTACTCTTATATCTATCATTGGTATAATTTTGAATACCATTTCTGCAGCAGCTTTTTTAAAAAGAATGGAAAATGGCTTAACCAATTTTCTTTTATTTTCTTTGGCAATCAATGACAACCTGTTTTTGGTGATCCATACGCTACTGTATCTTTATGGCAATGGTCTGATCAATGCAGGCATGGGATATATATTGTTCATGGCGGCAATTTACTACACTCTGCAAACATCACAGATTAACATCGCAGTTCTTGTGGCCAGAGATCACTTTAACTGTGTCCACAAACCATTTGTTCAGGCAAAAGAGAAAAAGACCATTGTGAAACAAGGCTGTGTGCAAGTTCTGACAGTGGTAATAATGTCTGTCCTTTGCAATTTTCCAAAACTGTTTGATGTAGAAAATGTCTCTGTCAAAATCTGCGACAATGAGACTGTACACACAACATACTGTCCAGAATACCAACTACGAGAAGGACAAGAATGGTTTATCTTCTCTGTGGTCTTCAGAATCATTGTGCACTTTCTAGCTACATTACTGATACCACTCACTCTTACAATCTTTTATACCATAAAGACCATACGGCTAATCAGGAAGTCACGGGTCATTCCAGAACAACAAACAATGGCATATATGAAGAGAAATAAGTTGGAAAAAACTCTTATGAAAATTCTAACAGTAATTGTGGTGTTCGTTCTGATCAACAATGCCATGTCAGCATCGGTTCAGTTGAATTTTGTGATAAAAAGTGACTTCTCTAAAGTACCATTTTCTAGGAAAGTCCTACCACTTACTGGTGTCTTTTCTTCAATTAATGCTTCCCTGAACTTTGTCGTATATGGTATCTATGGTTCTCAATTTCGAAAAGATCTGAGAGAAATGTGCTCTTGTAAGAAGTGAACTTGAAAAAGAAAACAAGAAAAACAAAATGTGGACAATATTGCAGAAGAATTACACATCTTTTTTTCTAGACATCTGCATGTTAAATGCCAACTGATGAGACAAGTTTCAGCCTAATTACTCAGATGTGTAGACAAGGATTCCACAGAAAAGCAAATAAATCACAATATCTGGGCAAAATATGTCTGTTGTTTTTCACATTTTTTAAAACAATTCTGCATTCAACTTTGCTATGTATCAGGACAGGAAGTTTCCACCTTCCTACCAGTACTGACAGCTGTCATTTTCAGGCCAGGGCAGGATTGGGGTACAGGCTGTCCAAAATTAACACCTGTAATTTCCTACAAAATTTCAGGGAGTCCAAGCCATCATTTTGCTTTGAAAAACACAAAATATCAACTTTCAGAAGAGGAGAGACCAAAGGCAAAATAAGCAGTAAAAATGTACATGGGGGTTTAAAACACTGACGAGTACATAAAAATTTGTGTATCTGGCATTGAGATTCTTTTTTAAAATGTTTTACCTTTGGCATATGTGCTCACGAGGGTTGCAAAGTTTGCCATGAGGATGAGAGAAGAGTAGTCAGTGGTGTCTGCAAGTTCAAGTGTTCTTAGCAACGATCCCAATCTCTCTGAACAAAACCTGGAATTACCAAATTTAAGAAGTCTGAAAAGTTAATTTGAGGATTATAACTTCACAGTAAGAGAGAAACAAAACATAAAAATACAGACTGCATACCAATTGTGAAGTTCCAATTATCTAGGTTGAAATCGAATCTGAGTTTCCTTGAGTAAAGATCCATATTTATATATGCATAAAAAAACATCCATCATTCTAAAAAATTACTAAAATCAATCAACCCTTTTATTGCACACAACTCAGCTGCACCTCATGAAAAGTTGATTCCTCTGTTATGACAATATGCAGGTATATGAATTTTTTTAATGAATTTTTGGAAAATAATAACATTTTTGAAATATATGTTACCTAAGAGGCTTTCTTTCAATGCAGACTTTCTGAGAGCAGTCTCGTAGAAAAGATGGCGGACTCTCTGACACAACATGCTGTACTCTTAGTCTGGTTTTCAGGTACTCCACAAACCTTTTTAAAAAGCTCACAAAATGTTCTGCATTTCTTATATTGCCTGGGACTGCCTCTAGAAAATTAAAATATCTGCCATATCATTCTGTGCAAATTCCATGGAACGAGGGTAGTTTGCAAACAAAAATAATTGCAAAAATATTTTGTAGATGGTTAAACTTGCTGAATTTGACTGCCAGCAGAGAAGAGTTTCAACAAGAGGGGTGACTATAAAAACATGTCATAAAAAATTTAAAAAAAAAAAAGAAAAATGAACTACTTGCACCGAATCTCCTTTGTAAAATTAAATAAATTACAACAGTGCATCAAAGTATTCGCACACTTATTTCTAAATTTATATACTCATTGTTTTACATGTGAAATATAGTGAGAAAGAAAGCTTTTTGAGAAACTCTCCAATTTCAGAGAGTGTTTTATGTGCATGACCACATTTGAACAAACAACAGCAAAATAAAGTCCCCTAAAAAGAACTCAAGACACTAAATCATGATATAGTTTAATAGCTGAGCACTCCACCTTGAAGAACTTCATCTGGAAGTACTGGGTTCGACAGAATCATGTCTGTTTCCCTGGCAACACTGGCGTCACGCAAACCATCAACAAGTCTCTGGTATTCTCCTCTCAATCTTTGGGCATCTGAGTCTTTGATTCTGTAAAAAAGGATCCCAAATGGACTAATACACTAAGACATGGTTCAAATTTAGGGAACTGCAGTTCATGTCTGTAAATTGTCAGGTTTCAAAGAACAAGAACGCAGTTTGTTGGCAAGAAATTTAATGATAAAGTTATTGCCGTAAGTTTTTCAAATACTTGTCCTGGAGAGTTCCATATTACTAGTAACTAGATCCATAATTCCCATTAAACCTGCTTATTTACTTAATTTCCAAATCAACTCTTATTTCAAAATTTGTCTGACTAGAGCAAAAAACCTTGCTTTCTGACATCAAAAAGTGCTCTTCAGGTTCTGCATCTAAAGTGACATGCAGTTGATGACGAAAATCTATCCTTGAAAATATAAAATATGCTTACTGCTGAATTTGTCTTGTCAGCTGTTCTACATTTGTTTGACATTTATCTAAAGTTCTTTTAGAAAGGTTCACACTCATAGATTCAATACACACATTATCTGAAATGTACATAAAAAAAAGCTGAAATAACAAATGCAATCACTTTTTCTGCAAAAGTACTGGTATTTTCTTTTTTTATTTCTCACATTTGAAAGCAACAAAGGAAGAAAAAGAAACAAGTTTTCTGTTGTTATACTTTTCTTCATGAGTCATAAAACTTTTAGAGTCCATTTCCCCTTTAGTTGAAACATGTATGCTCTGATGAAATAAAGTAACAAAAAACAAAGATGTATGTGGTAAGAAAAATACCTCATTAAGCAAAGTAATCACTACCTATATTATGAGCCTCATCAAACACAACCACTGTATTCCTAGAAATCTCCTTGGAGACCAACTCAGCAATTTTTGGATCCAGAAGATAATAATAGCTGTACACGACAACATTTGCATGGTTAATCTGTAAGATAAAAACATCATAGGAACAAACAGTTAAGTGATAACTCTTCTTCATTTTGCAGCCACATCATCAGGGAATTTCAAATTAAGTCAATCACAGAAATACTGATACAAAACAAAAACTTCAATACACAAGGTCAGGGCAGCAGAGTGAGAATGAATGAATGAAGTTAAAACCAGCTATAAACTATTAAATTGATCTGGTTTTCACAATTCTGACTTAAAAACATTCAAACACACAAGACCTATATATGTATACCTACCAATTTTTATCATTAATGATATCCAAACCAAACAAATAATTTTTTTTTCTTGAGGTATATAAATCTGCACAAAGACTCAGCTGACTTAGCAATATAAAAAATTGAGGTTCCAAAATAAATAAATAAATAAATAAATAAATAAATAAATAAAGATAAACATTACCCCATGTCTTGCCAAAAAATATGGGCACCAGTGTTTTTCCTTGCCATATTCCCTGAGATCATCCTAAAAATGAATTGAAGAATATATGAAGAATTATACTTATTGTGTCAGTTATATGAGTCCTGTAATCTATTATAGCACACACCATAATTATACCAAACAAAAACTTAATTATTTTTCAGAGAAATTACATGAGAGATCACAAACAGATTTTTTTATTCCCTAGCTATCATATTGCATCTGATTATTAATATTTAACAGAGTCAAGTAGCATACCAAATTATACACTCCTGGAGGCAGGGGGGCCTCTCTGCCTTGGTTTTCAAACTCCTGTTGAGAAAAACTGACATTAAGTAATGAAATTATTTCAAAATTACACCGTATGAAATTACACTGTATTTCAGCTTCATTTAACTCAATTCTTACATTATCAAAATCAGTCAACATATCATTCATTATGTGGAAAATACTGTTTATCATATCTTCTACTGGATAACAATCGTGAATCAAAAATGGCTTTTATGTCAACTAAGGTCTACAATATGAGGTGATGCCGATCATCAAGAATATTCATCATAATTCAGAGACCTTTCAGAGGGATTTCACCACTACAAGATGGAGGAAATAATAGCAAACCTCATAAAATGAGCAAACAGGAATAGACATGTCATGCTTGGCTCTGTTCCTGATGAAGGAGGCAGTGAGTCTGGCACACCTTCCATCAACTGTCTTTCCTTCCCTCTCTTGACTGACCTGAAATGTCAAACAATCAACTCGTTCAGAAAATTTAAAATTTTGAATTCAATTTTTAACTGTGTAGAGGGAAATTCACTGATTTCAAGGAATTTGACTTCTAATGTTTCAGTGAGACAGACTTAGGTTCAAAAGAACAAAAATCATCTCTAGTACAGGAATTGGTTGTCATGACAACAGCAAATCATCATAATGTTGATGTTCCCGATGAAACATTTGGAAGAAAATGTTCATCTATCTCAAAGTACCACAGCATGAAAAAGAAATGTACCAGAAATAGGTAAATGTTAGAGAGTAAGCTCCGTATAGATTGTCATGGATCTGTCACCTGTCACAATGTATAAATCATTTCCTACCATTCTTTGACAAATAGAGAATTAATCAATTGTTCCATAAGAGCTAAAGGTCACGTTGGTTACTGCATGAAAATAAAGGAAGAGACGATGAATAACAAGAGGAGAGGATAACATGAGCAGTTACCTGGCAAAGTATACATGAATATTACCTAACACCATTCAAGGTTTTCATTTTAATCATCTTGTACTGTAGCATGCATCCTATGCAAAATAACATATGACCTCACTGACCTCTGGATGAATGCACAGATTCTTTCTAGAGCTCAGCGCTAGGCCTACTAAGTCATTTGGCTCTCCTGTTTCCTTCTCATAGTATTCTATAAGGGTCTTCAGTTCTTCTACAACCTACATGTAATAAAGGAAAGCATTCAACTGTGACCAACTTAGAACTCCACTTAGAGAGGATTCAGAACAAGCTGATCCATACACTAACAGATCACAGATCAAATATGGCTGACCCACTTGTAAGCTTGCTGCATAATCCCCAAATAGACACTGAACAGATTTCCCATGGAAATTATGTAACAAGCATTCAAGTGGGCCATATTTAAATTTGATCCATGGATATGTTAGTCTGTGGATCAAATTTGGTTGTCAATGTGGTCTTATATCCATGTTTAACAGATGGTTCAATAAAATTGCAACACATTTACAATAAAACTGCAATACAATGTCAATAAATTTCATTTTAGGTTAGATACAATTCTAAAGCAATAAACAAATGTTTATTTGTTTATCAAAATCACTATATTTGTTTATTGAATTCACAAGCAACAAATCTGAAGCAGGGCAACATTTTTCATTCACAATGTTCAAAGTAATACAGCAAAAAAATAAAACAAAACTGTTTAAACACAAAATACTGGATAACTTTTGTAGATAATTGATAAAGCCCAGTTTAAGGCTTAACAGTGCCTATTTTCATAATAAATTTAAAATGTGAGAGATGTAATTAAGAAAAAATGTAGATAAAATAGATGTAAATAAGATAAAGGATAAAATAGGATAAAATAAACTTTCCAGCCGACTCCTCCCCCCCTTCTCCCCCCCCCCCCAAAAAAAAAAAAAATAAAAATAAAACAAATAAATAAATAAAAACACAGAAGGCTTAAACTGCAAGGGATGGAATTAATGGCTGTGCTTTTCCAACAACACAAATCTCTGACAGAAACTTAATACCAGTCATTATCGAGATAAAATGGTTAACAACTATGCATTATAAGCCAAGTTGTGGCATATTCACCTATCATTATGGCAGCTTGATATCATCTAAAAGTATATGATTTTGACTATTATATGTATATCAGATATTGATTTTTAGCTATCATGTAGAGCTTTCTTGGAAAGAACGAATTATAAACCCAACCTTCTCCAACTCGGGGACTGTCCTGGAGCAATAGATCAGCTTGGTGACATCGAGGGGATACGTCTGAAAGACAAGAAATATTCATATTTTAATTCCTACCATGACATAACATACACACCATATACCAGCCACACAATATACCTGAAATATCACATTGTAGGTTCCTGTGAGGACATACAATTATATTCACTATTTTATTGACTAAATTCCATTTAAATTACCTTTCTCATCAAATTAATGACCATCAGGTTTGGAAACTTGAATGAAAAGATTGTGTAAATGAGAGCCAGGAGAACTGAAGAAAGAGTAAATTCAGAAAAAAAAAGAGGAGTGGTGAAGTCTGGTTAAAATGGCACCTGCCTTTTGATAAGCAATAATGAGAGACAGCAATGACACCGTCTTGCCAGTTCCACATGGCATCTCCAGTACACAGTGGCCCTGAAATGCGGTAGAGAAGATTTCTTATCATATACAACATATAATTGTGTTAGAGAAGATCAAACACAATCTACAACATGGCATCTCCAGCACAGTGACTCTGGAATGTGGCAGAGAAGATTTGTTATCATATACAACATATAATTGTGTTAGAGAAGATCAAATACAATCTACAACTAATATGGCAGAAAAGATTTATTTCCCAATACAAAATAGCATGTGTTCGAGAAAATCACATACAAGCTACAACACGTCCTTTATTTTCTGGTTAAAATAATCACAAGCAAAAAGTCTTTGTTCAAGGGGCAGTGTGCTAGATAATGTATCTTATTTTTCCCACTTTCTTTCCAGACAGCCTACGCTCATTTCCAAATATCCTTTGTAAGTAAGAAACCATTCCCAGACCCTATCGTACTAACTTTGGAACAAACTATCTCCAAGGGGATTCTCCATTAATTGCAATTTACTTAAGCGGCTTAGACGTCTGTCACGTCTACATACGTTGATAGGGAGTAAATAACTATCATTCAGCAGATTTAGTAGATGTCCCAGACATCTAAGCCTTTTAAGCTGAAAGCAATTTAGCAAGAAACCCTGTGCAGATGGACCAATCCTATTAGATCAATCTAGGGATGGGAACCGAGTCCAACCCAATCATGCCCCCTAAATCATAAGTTCCACTTTCATGTGCAATGTAAATGTAAGCAATGCATCACTTTTCTACAGCAGATTCATATAATTGCAACCAAGCCAATGCATACCTTAGCATCCAGAGATCGTTTCAGTTCCAGCATGTATGAATACTGTTCTGGGTAGATGTAGTCATACGGAAAGTAGACCAGCAGTCCATCTATATTCAATCTGAAGAAGACACATGACCACCTCCAATACATACTCAGCTAAAACTGGTATCAAAATTTGGCACAGATTGTTTTATTTTATTAAAAACTTTGATATCATTTTTCTTAATTTCTTTTTTTAATAAACCATCACAATTTTTCACCCTTTGATCACAAATATAAAATTCATTCATTCATATACAAGTTCCTGTGAACAATTTTGCCAAACAGACATTTTTTCATCATGAAACTTTTTTACGACTTATGGATCTGCTGCAGTAAAACTACAACATTAAACTAATTTCAACAAAGGTTCTTTTTGTTTTTATTATTTTTTTAATTAAACCCATTAAACTATTTTGATGTTTATATAGGAAAGATTGCAATTCATGCTTAAGTGTTCAAAATATGAATATTTCTTTCCTTCTAAACAAGGTTGCTCAGGGCTCTTAGAAATCAAGTTCTAGACAGCTGTCTCAGCCATATTCATTATTTAATAGCTGACAAAGTACTGTAAAAATCCATGCACTTACTAGTATTTATATCTTATTAAATTAACAATAAACATATACATCATTAAAGAAACAAATCAATCTCTTTTAATAACTTTTATTATTCAATGAGAACTGTAAAATTCTCAGGTAGCTCACATATGATACACACTGTAGTGTTATGTTCACTGGACCTATACTATACTACATGTATATAGCTCTATTAGACCTATACTATATAGCTCTAAAATAAGACAGTACGTAACAAAGTCAAATACAACTTTCATGTCTAAAATTAGATGACTTGCATCTATAACTTCAGATTAAACATTCCAATCCATTTTATTTGAAGAAAAGTTTCCACCAAGAACTCACATGTACATCTCTTTAAAACAATCTATCCACTTAATTTACCTCATTGAGCAATGGTTACAGGATTTTACAACAATGGAGAGGTTCTGACAGAACTTTAACTGACATCAAATAAGGATTCCTAATCAATCTGTGATAAATATGTCACATCATCTTTATTTCAAGCCAACATCTTTATTTCATTCTTCACCCTGTACGTACTTCAAATTAAATATTTCAATACAGATATATTCCAAAAAGTCAGAGTCCATTCAAGACCATACTATCAAGATGAGAAAATTAAAAATGTCACTGCTCTGAAGTAAATATCATTTCTTTGAGCTCGCACTGAAAATTTTTAGCAAAAGATTGAAGAAATGGTGGTATTGCCTCTTCCACTGTAACATTTCTACTCATCAGTTGTGATAACGAGGTCACACCTTTATCCACAATACCACAGGGTACGATATGCTTAAACCAATCCAAATCAGTGTTACAGTTGAGAGCTAGGCCGTGAGTGGTTACATATCGAGCACCATGGACTCCAATGGCACAGAGCTTTTTCTCACCCACCCAAATGCCGGTGTCTTTGGTTGTGTTTGCCTCTATGCCATATGCCACAGCACACATGTCAATCACAGTATCTTCCAGCTTTCTTATGTACTCCCTCATGCTTAGTTTGAAATCCTTCAAGTAAATCACAGGATAAACCACCAGTTGACCTGGGCCGTGAAAAGTTATCAAACCTCCACGATTTGTCTTCACAAATTCAGCACCCAATGCCTTCAAGTGGTCCTCATCCCTGAGAGTGTAGTCTTTGGTTCTCATGCCGATGGTGTACACTGGATTGTGTTCTAATAAAAGCAGGGTGTTGACAGGGTTCTGCTGGACAGGTTCCCCAGCCATGTGGTCCAGACGTAACTTTGACAACCTGTTCTGTATCTCTAGAGCTTGGAGGTAACCAAGGCGACCAAGTTTCATAAAAACACATTGTTGCTGCATCTTTGACCAAAGATAAACTTAAACAATGAATCCAGCATAAGACGTCCACAGGTACATCCAGTTTATACCAGCTTACATCGCAAAGCAATAAACAGATCTCTTGTCTCAGGCTTTCCTCCCCTCTGTTTTACGTTTACCTGGAATAGAGGCACATAGTCTTATTTTGTAATGCAAAGGTAACCGATCTATTTACAAACATTATTGCACATAATAACAAGAGCAGGGATGTGTTTCAATCAAAGCAACAGATCTCTATGTGCCTTTATTCCAGAAAAACAATACATGACTTCAGTAGGGGCTCCAGTAAGTGGTGCATCAGCCATCACACCCTGTACCCAGTAGAATCCATTATATCATGCATTACATGTATAATTATATAATTTCAGGCCATTACAAAGAAAGCACTAGCTTAAGTAACTTATGACAATACCTTAAGTAAATACAAATGGAAAGCACTTACTTCATGACTGAATATTAAACCGATTTCTTCTTCGGCCAAAACTGTCACAACCAAAATACACCACAGTCATCAATTTCAACCGGAAGCACGTGTGGAACGGAAACGCAAGTGGTGTCGGGGAATAAACAATATGGCAGCGCCCAGCAGAAGAAAAATGTTCGCAGCAAAATTCTCTGTTTTACCAAATTTGTGTGAGATTCATCCTTTATATTTACAGTTGAATGAACAGCAGTATGATTTAGTGTTTGAAAATAATGAAAATGATCATGCAATTGGGGCAGTAAGTAAGAAAACAGCCACCCCAGGATTTCCATCATTACAAGTCAGTGTTTACAAGTCCAAAGTGCACATTCCCTCCTCTTCTTGTATTGAAAATGCCGATTTGGAAGAGACGAACTTGCTCCTGGGATGCACAGAAACTTTTCTACATCACTACGGTTTCTCCGTAGAGGATGACATAGTGTTACACTCAGTGGAATCTTTCCCCATGAAACGAGTTGTAATTGTTGCTAAGACTGTAGAGGCGTATCACTGGGCCACAAACTCCATGTGCTCCCCCTCCCTGCTAATCAACATATGCAAGGGACCAGTCCTTGTTAGAAAACAGGATGTATTGCTGCTACCCACCAATCTTAGTCTGTCACATGGCTCTAGAGGCAAGGGCACCCCACCAGTTGCTGTCCAGTTTGATTTAGTAGTGTTGGAGTGTGAGCCGATATGTCAAGGTATTCTATCAGTAATCACTGAGATTGTAGTCACAAAGATCAGTGGATTGAATAATGAGCACAAGCCAGCTGATGCCACTGCGAGTGACTCCTCTGATTTGACTGAATTTCACCCTCCAGTACTTTCAGAGTTTGCAAAGCCAATCACAGATGTACTTAGTGGTAAAGCAACTCATAGTGACATCACTGTTGACAGAGGTTCATCTGATGATTGTATTTACAAGTTATTCTGTGTAGATTCCAAGGAGGAATGGGATAACATGTGCATTGGTTATATGAAGAAACATGACATAAAAGATCCCAATACCATAGGAGTGATTTCAGTGAATACTGCAAAACACAATGGTTTGTACCATGACAGCCTGGTGCATTTAACATTAGTTCTAGTGGAAAGTAGCTCTGATAGCAAAGGCTTGGATACCAAAATCTCTACTGCAACCTCATCGGAAACAGAAGATGACAAACATGAAAGAGACACAACAGAGCTGCTCAAAAGATATGCGTCTTTGTCAGTCTCATCTCATCCAAACATTGAAGACAACAGCATTTATGTCACTCCAGTATTCAGGCACAACTTGCTGTTCAGAGGGACCAACTTCCCAAGAAACACAAGCAAGTTACAAGTATCAATTAAGGTATTATTCTTAAAATTTACAATACACTACACAGATAGAAAAAAAGTAAATTCATATTGATGTCTTTCTGTTGTATATGACAATCCTTATTGAAAGAGAATGGTTGTAATTTAGACTTGTCATGTTCTTTGTCAATGGTCATTATTATGCAAGCTTATAAATAGATTACATTCATTATTTGTTTGATTCTAGCCACTGGAAGAGGATGACAACAAACCTTCACCTAGGTCTTGTAGCACTTCCTGCCATGCCAAAATACCATATGCCAGAGAAGTTCACATTTCTGTTGTTCACTCTCCATGTCACCCTGTGGCAGAGACTCTAGACAGCGTCATGAAAGAGTATTTTTCTACTGCAAGGTATTATTGTTTCTAGAAATATGGAGAGATGTTTCAAAAGCAGATTAAATTTTCCTTAATTGTGGAGTTCATTTCCTTTGAATTGGGGCAGTGAGAAAAAAGTTTTCATATGGAATACCTTTAAGATGTAATCAAATACTGGTGTTCATTATATACATATATACGTATTTTAGTACTAGACATTGTAATTGCCATAACCAGTGTTTAGAATTACCTCATATTCATGTTAATCTCAGTAGTGTTTTTATTTCTTTTATTTATTTATAATAATTTTTTGCCATAGGTTATTGAGTGTGGATGATATTATAGCTGTTTCAACAAAAGGTGGGTTGTGACCATAAAGAGCATTTTTATTTACCTTTCTGATTGAGAATTATAACATACTGGATGAGAATTAGGTATGAGAAGTCTATGTGTTACACTGCTTTCAGTGTTCTGAAATACAGTTTTTAATGTATAAACAACATTGAATTTTGAATACATTACTATGTATTGAAGTTAATACAGAATTCAGTGGTAAACTCAACATATTAAGTTTTTTTAAATCTTATTTAGGTAGTGCACAGTGTTTTCAAGAGCTGACGGAGACAGTAGACCAGAGGCTTCCTGTGGTGTATTTTAAAGTGACCAGGTATGAACCTACATATCCTGGCTGGGACTGCTGCCTTGTAGATATCCAACACACCTCTTTGTTTCAGGTCAGTTGGTTTATGCTTTGAAATGTATAATTATATCTAACAACACAGTATTTGGAATCAATGTGTAGTTTCATAAAGATGATAGTTTGTTGTGCTGTGACTCTTTATGACCCAGTACTGATGTATGAGGATACAAGGTAATACAGGGTCAAGGGGACATTTTGAAAAGATTTTAACTTTCATTTTCATTGTGGCTCTTCATTGATCTATTTTTAAAGTAAATTTTAATTTAATATGTGTATTATTTGAGGTATAATTTTGTAAAATCAAATTGAAATTAAATTCTCAGACTGCTTTATTTTATCTCCTTTAGGCAGGCATTGTACAAAGTTACTTACCTGTAACTACTCAGTTTTGGGATGGTCCCCAAACATTCTGCCCACCATTACACTTACCAAAGGGTCTCAAGAAAATAAAGGAACAAGTGGAAGCACTGTGCCTACCTTACCTAAACTCCAGGTGAGTTGTGTTATTTTTTATGTCTTAGTTTATCCAATTCAATTTTAACATAACCAGTCATACATCAGTGTCAGTATTCCAGTCATTACAAGAGTCTTTGTAACAAAATAGGATCTGGTTTCAAGAAAATCTTAAGAGTGACTTAATTCTAACAAATGCTAAATTGTAACAAACTAAAACAATTGCTAATATTACTGTAGTCCATGTTTGTCAGTTCCAGACAGTCTCTTTCTTTGGCCTCATTTCTACTGAAGGGTCCAGTGGGAAGTGGGAAAGGCATTGTTGTGAGAGCAGTAGCATGTGCTCTTAGTATGCAGGTCTACAAGGTATGGACTTCTGTTGTTTATGTAGCTATGTGATTATATTCTTGTTGTGAGAGGAGTAGCATGTCCTCTAAGGGCGTATTCCCAGAGCTTTTAGATTGATCTATCCCCGCGGGGAGTCTCACTAGATTACTGTCAGATAATCTGACTTAAATGTCCGTCCCGCCTACTACAAGCTGTTAAGGAGGTAATTAACTTTCGTGTCCGCCCGGCTGACAGCTATTTAGCATGAACCTCCAGGGAGTTAGGTCGATCTAAAGTAGATTGATCTAATCTCTGGGAATGGGGTCTAAGTATGAAGGTCTATAAGGTATGGACTTCTGTTGTTTATGTAGCTGTGTGATTATATTCTGTAAATTAATGTTTTATATATTTAAAAGACACATTAGAATAGAAACAATCCATGTGTTGAAAATATGGATAGGACTGAGTTTATGAAACCAGTTGAAATGTTTAAGTTCAAAGATATTTCATTCTTAAAAATGACAAATTTAAAAAAGTTTTTCTGAATTCTCTACTATATATATAGGTCAGCTGCCATGACATCAGTGGAGAAACATCATCTGCCACTGAACAGAGAGTGAAGAACGTGTTCACTAAAGGTTTGTTGCAGAGGGAAATATGTCAAGTACTTTATGTACATTTGCAGATGTAATAGAAGTCATGTAGTGAATGTTGTATGTATCTCAGTCTGTTGTTAAATCATTATGCCAGTGATGGATCTCCACATGTTATAGTCCCCTTTAATTTTCTCTTTATATTGAAATAAGAAGTTAAAAAAGAAACTTGCTATATATTAAAGCCGATTGTACATTAATGATCACAGAACAGCCTCAGTATTTCATGTGATCCGCTCAAGTTTATTTCTTTTCAGCTCGAAGTTACAGTCCCTGCATTCTGTATCTGTCAAATATCGATGCTCTCAGTAAGGACAGAGATGGAGTCAGTGAAGATGCCAGGGTCACAGCCACCTTTCTAGAGAACATGCAGACGGCAAATGCCTGTGATTCTGATTGGCCTATTATCGTTGTGGCAACAAGCAACTCGTCCAATCAGATGAGTAGTGATATGTGTGAAGGGTTTCTTCACCAAGTAGTAATGAAGGTATGGTTTTTTCTTCTGGATTCAATATAATCTGACATTTAGCTCTCATGTTATGAAACATTATAAACAATCTTTGTCTGCAAATAATGTACAAGTTTGTTAGATCAAGTGAAATTGGATTCTTCAGTGAAAAAGAATATGACATAATTACTTTTTGTGTGAGCATGCATGCACACAAGTCGGTGCATTTGTGTTAAAATTTGTGTTTTGGTTATTTGTTATATGTATAAAAAATATATTTTTATGGATTTGGATTTTATTAGTAATCTTTGCCCTCATAAATTTAGGTGCCAACAGAGGAAGAAAGAAGAGATATGGTGGACTTTTTGCTGGCTTCTGTGCCTTGCTCTTCTAGTCTTTCATTATCTCATATTGCTCAGAGGACTGCTGTAAGTATGGTTCCTTTAAACTGCTCCTCTTTGAATGTGGAATGAGCAGCTTGGTTTCTTGTGCTACTATGTCTAACTGCTTGATTTCTGTACACTATTACAAAGGATAATTTTCATGTTTTTGACAGTTTTCATTTCTATAGACCCATTACTTTAAAAACAATCTTGTGAGCACTTGTCTCTGCAGCTGATTTCAGCTAGTTGTATTATCTAGGGGATGGTGTTTGGGGACCTGCAGGCCCTGGTGACACATGCAAAGAGAGCAACATTAAGGAGGGTTAAACAGGCATGGTAAGTGGTATTATTGATATATAAGATATATCAGCCATTGTGGTAAGGTGCCTTGAGATAGAATGTAAGGTGCCATATAAGTATCTTATTATTATTATTATTATTAATTTCTGTTAACTCTTGTTTATACACAGTTCCTGTTTTATGTAGAAGAGTAAAAAGAGCAGATATCTGGAGAAATTGCATGTTGTTTTTGGCATCTTTATGTGTGTCCATATGGAATATCTTTCTGTTATTTCAGTGTAGGGATGAGTTCTCTCAGTCTCCAGCAGGAGGAAGATATCTGTAGGGCAGGCCTGTGTGTGAGTCAGGAGGACTTTGACCTGGCTTTAGACCAGCTACAGGCGGCACACTCCGACGCCATTGGGGCACCACAGGTGGGTCGAACTTGGTGTCAAGGTGAAAAAAAATGGGTAAAACTGCAGGTTTTTAATGGTGTTAAAAATAAGCGACTTATGAACAGGAAAAAGAAGTGGTCAATATGTGCCTTATTTAAGCTTGAAAAAAAACTTTGTCTCCAATATGTAGACTTGGTTCTATTCCTCCCAGATTCCTAATGTTAGCTGGGAAGATGTTGGTGGCCTGGCAGATATTAAAGCTGAGATTCTGGACACCATACAACTTCCACTAGAGCACCCAGAGCTGTTTGCTGCAGGACTGAGGAGATCAGGTGAGATATGATAAAGATATAAATATTAGCAAGGATTTTACTTTTCAGAGTTCAACTGGCCAGTGGATTTTATGGCATTCCTGTAACTGGGATAACTTTTCATTAGCTGTGTGAGGAAGATACTTCTTGGTGACAGCTGTTATCATCACAAAGCCATTCAGCTTAGACTAAGAAAGTTAACATTTTTGGAAGCTTTTTCTTAATGTTGAATACACATTTAAATTTCATGACACAGTTTAACTATTTTATCTAATCATGTAATTTGTATAATCATAACCTGTGTTTGTCAGCAGTGGTTGTATCATTCTGGGCACTTTCAAACCAACCCTGACCTATTTTATCTTGTATAGGAGCATACTTATATTATTATTATTATGTGATATATAAGTAAACCCTGACTAATTGTATCTTGCAGGTGTTCTACTGTATGGTCCTCCAGGAACAGGGAAGACTCTGCTTGCTAAAGCTGTGGCCACAGAATGTTCTCTCAATTTTCTTAGGTAACATACATATATTATAATTGTAATGAATTGGGTATAAGTATAGTATTGTGAATGTTTAAAAAATCTTACAGTATTTCCCTTGGTGTATTCAAAATTTGAAAGAAATTATTATGATCTCAGGAGAGTCAACCAATGTATTTAAACATTTTTGGACATTTAACATTTTTTTGGCAAAATATCAGATTATCTAGTAAGTCCTTTTCTGTTTCTGCTTTAGTGTAAAAGGACCAGAATTAATCAATATGTATGTTGGACAGAGTGAAGAAAATGTAAGAGAAGGTAGGTTCTATTTTTCAAAGTGCTTCTTGTTCAAAATTGCTACACTGTGCACTTCTTTGTACATCTTTGGAAAAGTAGTTGGGATATGATGACTATTGTTTCATATCTTAATATTTTTCAGTGCTTTGATTTTTATGACTAACCATGTAGACATTTCTTTCGAGATAAATCCATGGGATATTTTCTCACATTAATAAATAAGATATGTCTCCATATTACTTCAGTGTTCCATCGCGCCAGAAGTGCTGCCCCCTGTGTTGTCTTCTTTGATGAATTAGATTCACTAGCTCCCAATAGGGGTCGCAGTGGTGACTCAGGAGGAGTGATGGACAGGTTGGTCAAATATAATGATATGGTAATGACTGGCTCTTTTAAATTGATAAAATTATCAATCTATCAGAAAATCAATTTTGTAATCATTAAAACGTATTTCTATGTAGCATTTGTGGTGCTTTTACTGTATACAATGGATTCATAAGGTAGCCTGCTTTTCCATTTTGTTGCTACTTCTCAAAGGGGAATGTTCTAATTTTAAGAATTTGTGACTTAGAAAAAACATTATCTGTACAATTCACAGTTTTCCCCCATTAAAAATATCAAGTAATTACCGTAAATGCCGTGACTGACATTCACTGTTATCATCTAGTCTGAACCAGTGTAAATATCAGTGTTTTAAATCCTAGATCTAGCCAATTAATCAAGGCACCTAGAAAAAGAAGTATTGCACTTTTGCATGTAGGAAGGGAAGTGGACTAACCATTATGATCAACAATTAATTACTGGTCACAGTATTCCATAGGGGTTACATTTTCCCTGAATTACTTGTTTAAGTCACATTTTACAAATCTTCGTATTGACCTATATTATTTTAATAATAATAAAAAAGCAAAAGAATATGTACTATGTAAAAATACACCATACAAAGCTCCCACCTCCAGTAGTACACAAATTCATCAGTGGTCCCATTGTGCTGGGGAAGACAAGACATTCTGATTATTTTAGATGAGAGTCGTGTAATGACATGAAGAGAATTGTTCCCTGGGGAGGCGTGTCTTGTAATTATTAAATCAGAATTGTAGCCTTGGGGGTGTTATATATACAGCATGGGAGCCTGCTGCATGGAGTATTATACCTTAGAGTCACAAATAGAAGCTTAACTTCTGATTTGCCTGATTTTAAGTCGAGGTGTTTGAGCTTTGATACATGTTGTTTATTGAACCATTGACTAATATCACAATATTAGGACTTGTCCATGACTGCGGCAATTATTGATTCACGTTGGATGTTTTAAGTCTTTTGACAGATTTTCATTCATTTATTTTGTTTTATTTTATTTTTGGGGGCTTTTTATTTAGTTTTTTGTTTTTCCAAATTAATTAATTAATTCTTATGATATAACTAAAAATTTCACCTCTTTCATGCATATATCAGAGTGGTGTCCCAGCTTCTGGCAGAGCTAGATGGACTTCACAAAGCTTGTGATGTGTTTGTGATTGGAGCAACCAACAGACCTGACCTCCTGGATCCTGCTCTCCTCAGACCTGGAAGGTAAAGCAGTCTTAGAGTGCACTCACAATGAATCTATGGCCCCATTCAGAATAGGGGACTAACTAGTCCAAGGGTTAAATTTGGGGACCAACTACAAAGCTTGCCTTTTAATCCGCTAATAGACATTGAATAGATATCCCGTGGGGAAGTATTCAAGTGGGTCAGCCATATTTGACCCTCAGACTAGTTAGACCCCTATTCTGAATGGGGCCTATCATACCAGCTACCAACTCCAAGGGACTCTCACTGAATATAATCAGATTAACAGATCAAAATGCCTCCTCTTATTGCCAACTTGCTCATAAAATCATCAGCTTATTTGTATTCTACTCAAGACCAGGAAGAGGTGTGTTAATCTATCAATCTGATTGCATTCAGCGAGGGTCCTGGTGGAGTTAGTGCTCAGTAGTTAGTATGAATTCAATGTGAACTCAGCATTAGGTAGAGCTTATACTTAATTCAACTACCAGACCAATTCATTTTCCATAAGTTTATTGCCCATTTGTAGATTATATTCAAATCATTTCTGTATCTTGATCATAAATTGGCTGTTATCTTATGAATTAACTGATCTACTATCTAGTAGATGAAACGGAGAAGATACCTCTGAACATTGTTTTCACTTGATATATAGTATACCATATGTTTTATATGGCATTGATTTGTTTTACAGGTTTGATAAGCTACTGTATCTTGGAGTCAGTGACACCAGAGGGGCACAGGTCAAAATTCTGAAAGCTTTGACAAGAAAGTAAGCATTCTCTTGTTATTGTATGCCATGTACAGCACATGTTATTATTGCAATTTGTTTATTTTGTCTTTATATTGCCAAATTAAAAAAAAATTCTAAAAAATTAACAGAAAGTCATTTTGTCAAAAATGTGCTTGATTTTCAGTGAAGATAAATGTAAGTGGTGGGTAGTCAGACACCTACTGCTATAGAAGAGAAAAACATACTGTTGTGCGTGATTTTTGTGAATTTTGAGTGAAAGTTAAACTTAAATAATACATTGATTAAATACAGATATAACTCAAAACTGATAAAGATTTAAATGTATCACATTCATCTACAAGATTATAAAGAATTCAAGTGTTTGTTGTATTCCACCAGATTTCAGCTAGGCCAGGATGTCCAAATGGAGGCTGTGGCCGACCAGTGTCCACTCACACTGACCGGTGCTGACCTCTATGCTTTGTGTTCTGATTCACTGCTTAACGCCATGAAGAGGAAAATTGAAATGCTTGAAAATGGTTAGTGACAAAAGTGTCTGTTTGAAATACAAAGCTATTCCTGCAACCAAGGTGGTCTGTGTCTTTTAAAAGAAAAGAAAACTATTTTATCTTTCATGTTGATATGGATTCTTTAGATATTTTTTACAGAAGCTTTCCTGGCAGTATTAGGGGAATATATGGGCATTTAAAATTTGTGTCATTAAATGGAAAAAGACACAATTATACATTATTTCCAATTTCTTTAATGAACAAATAGAAATAATATCCCACAAGGAAATACTTACACATGTCCATTTGGAAATGTTAGAAGTGTTCCATCCTTTCAATGTGATGGGTTCATTTAATGATGTATTATTTTCCCCATTGTCTTTGAAGAGTACATAGTTCAATGTACTTTAAGCAGTTTATCATGTGGGTTAATTAGTCTTCCCAGTTGGTGGATTATTTTTCAAATAAATTTAATAACAATCACAATAATAATTTATTGAGCACAGAAATGTCTGAAATTTAAATGTATATATGATAGTAATCATAACAGATATGTAAATAAATGAAAACATGGATTTACAGGAAGAAAGTTCAGTCAGTGTCTGTCAGTGCTGCATATGTTGATGAACCGACACTTGTACTTTGATTAGATACATGTAACACTCTAGTTTTTCTCTGTCCAAATGAACTTTATCAGAATGAAATTACAGACAGCTTGCCAAGAGTTTAAGGCCACTACATATATGACTACTATCATTACTAATTACACTGCAGTGGCAGCTATTCTCTATGAGCCACCACAATCAGAAACAGGTGCTTACAGCTCTCAAGAGCCTCTCATCATCTACATTTCACTGATTGGTAATAGTTATGTATTAATTCATATTTCAGGGTATTAATCCCATTGTTTTCTCCTCTTGACAGGGTGTGTCAAAGGAAACTGCACATTTAAAATGTTTGATTTAAAATTTAAAAAAAGCCCCCTTCTATTTTGTACAAGGGAACCCTGTGTGGAAATGTTAAGGTTCATTTTTAACATTTATGCTAAAAAGATTTTTCAGCCTAATGTTATGTTTAACACAGGATCACTTTTAGTTTCTGTTCAGCATATTTGATATTGATCAATTAAGAGTTAGGTATTGGAACTTATGAGTCACCCTGTAGGACATCTGAGAATGTGCACATCTGTTTATTAGCCATTATGGAGATTTTGTTGACTATCTATTTGATTCTCAAACATTAAAGCTCTGTCATAGAAGTAGCTGCAAATACTGGGAGTGTTGAAGAGAACAAATACCTCAGCTCCTGCCAGCATTATTGAAAGCAGCTATTGAAATGGACTATTGGGTTCCTCTCCAGTGGCAATTAACGCATGTTTTCAACCAGCTGATGCTGACTTGTTGGGCCACACTTACATTATTAATAGCTTAACATGTGACCTCTTAGTAAATCTGACATTTGCTGTCTTGTGTTCTGTTAAACAGCTCGTATGTCCTATATCTAGGGCTCAAGTTATAATTTCATTTTTATTTTTTAATTAATCTGATCTTACTCTGATTTGAGTAATATCAACAGTTTTCTGTCAGTTTTCTATCATTCCAATATTAAAATATTTTCAAGCACTGTCTGTTTGAAAATAATCATATAATGATTGTCTCTGAAGGCCAAAATATTAAAAAATGTGAAAGAGGAGAGAGAGTTTGATGTTTTGTCATTGCACTTTGTCTTCTTTTCATAGAAACTAGTGAAATTTCTTGATGGGAACTTTTGTTTTAATTGCGAGTTCCCCTAAGGAATAGAAAAATATCTGACGTAAAGTGAAAAATATAATTTATTTTAAAAATTCTTTATATAACCTTGAGTACAATAAACATAGGAGTAGGCACTATTTCCTTAACACGCAATGACAGTTCACTACACTATATATTTGAAGCTAAAGGACAATAACATCCAAATATTTCAGATAAAATTACAAAATGTGCATATTTAAAGTGGTCCCATAATAAGCAGGGTAAAAATAAGAAATGTAAATATTTCACCAATTTTATATACAAGAGTACAGAGTAAGTTTGTTGTCCATTAAGTTTTCCTTCTTTTCATCTGTATAGATAATTATATTTTCTACAGGTTAAAACCCTAATTCTAATATTGAAATATTAACTAAAATTCACAGAATTGCTCTAAGTAAGTTTACTGTCAAAATAAAACAATTTTACAATTTTTGATAATTATAATCACAACATACCAATACAGAATAAAATTAAATTGATCTTAAGGTTAAGCCATATGGGTAGTCTTTTTAAGTTTCATGTAAGAAATCTTGTCATTTTATTAAATTGTGGTAATATCACCACAGAATAAATTCTAAAAATCTTGAAGTAGTAAATATGTTAAATGAAATCATCCAAATTTAAAGACAAATTATGAATTAAAAGAAGGTGAAATCATCTCTGATTTATTGGTATATTTTCCAGGAGAGGAGACAGATCAGACCACACTGGTGGTAGAGAACCAGGACTTCGCTAACGCCCTGGAGAACCTTACACCCTCTGTATCTGAGGCGGAGCTACAGCACTACAAATTGCTGCAGTTCTCTCTACTTGCTAGCTGAGACTAGTGAGAATAGAATTCTTGGATGAAAAACTGTACAGTGGCGAAAGGAGCATAGTGAATTATTCAGGGTATTACCATAGTTTCCCAGTTTTCATTCCTGAAAGAAGATAATCATGTTAATGATTCTTGCACAGGGAGTGCTTGACACCAATAAACTGCCAGTTTTACATATGTAGAACTCTTCCTCTAAAGACAATGCATGGTTTTCTGATTATGGAAAGAAAATTGTGAACAGTGCTGCTTTGGTTTTAAATGTCTAAAATGTATATTAAGCTTATGTATAGCTGTGGCAAGTAGATAGACAAATTTGCTAATAAATAACTTAAAACACCGACTACATGTGCATCGAGCAGCAAACAGAAGCATTCAGATTGTACTCGATGTCATTCTAAAAGACTATTTACAAGTTTCAGAACAGTTTTAACACCAGTTAATTCCCCCTGTCAATGTCAACAGTTATTGCCTACTGTGCTAATGGCCCTAAGTAATGTAAACTCTAGTTTGGTGCATTATTTAAAGCCTAATCCATCTGTCTGTCTCTTTTTACATTTACTCAGAACAATGAAATGCTCTCCTATTTGAGAAATTAACAGATGTTAAAACTTTGTCATCAGCTATTGCTTGCCTAGATTTTTGCAAAGCCAGTAATTATTGGTTCTTTTTCATGCTAATGGTTTTTTGTGACAATTTTTTATGGAAATTGCCCATTAGTTAATATAATGATTACACTTCATGATGTAAAAAATTTAATTAACTGTTCTAATATGTTTCAAAATAACAGAGCATGCATAAGAGTACATTGGTTTGTGTATCTAGATGGATATGGGCTATATAAATATATCAGAGTAGTTCAGAAACTGTTCCTACATATGAACAAAATATTTAATCTGAATATGTGCAATTATGGATAATAACATAATTCTGCAGATTAAAAAAAGTAATGTTAGTTATCTTTGTCTTTCTTAATTTTATCATTAAGCCAACATCATTTACTACCCCATCACATGAAGAGATTTATTTAGGGAGGGTTTGGAATCTTAATTAGCTTCCAGGGGAAAAATCAAGTCCAAAACGATCACAGAGGATGGCATGATGTTTCCTTAAACAAATATGACACAAACTGTCTGCTAGTAATTGTAAGAACCCACATGGAGGGTGACCTGTTTGTTTTAATGTGCCACTCTCCCACCTGCCAGAACGCTGGGTCCTACCCGCCTCTGTTATCATCTAAGATGGCAATTATAATGCTGTACATCACTAGAATTCTTAGTTCACTCTATAGCAATTGAGATCAGAAATATGCTTTATAACAATAGCTTAATATAATCCGATTAATATGGACATATCAGCTAGTCTGGAAGAGACAGTTCAATCTGATCTACGGCATTATGAAATTGTGATCCATCTTTTCCTAAATCCCACAAAAAACGTAAATCATCAAACAATGTGATGTTTTCCATTTTCTGGAAGACTTCGCTGTAAAGGATAGGATTCTTCTTGGCCTTTTTTCAAGTTTTCAGCCACCATTTCAAGCGCTTTCTTCTTTTCGTTGTGTCTTTTTCTTTTAATGATCACGACAATTAGAGTAACTATTACAATCAGTACCAGCAATGCAACTAATCCCAAGAGAGCGTCTTGCTTGGTGAAAAATGTTCCTGCAGACGACACGCGCTGCATGTCACGTGACAGGGAATGTGAGGGGTAATCTGGAAGAAATAGAAATGAATTATTTTTCACGGTTTAAAAATGCGTTATTCGATCTTAAGTGGCATGTTCTTGATATCTAAAACGTAGTCTAGTGAGCGTCTGCTCGTTCATGATGTCGGAATAAGACATTCCAGAATGGGAAGGGATATGGCCGACATTTTTTGTGAGAACATTCCTGGTGATGGCTACTAGTCTTACGGTTTTAGTTTCAAATAATCGGCTAAAGCAGCCGTCTAGATGCCAGTGATATATTGATGGACTTGGAGAAACGATAATGCAGCCGAATCAAGAAACAC